CGTGTGCACAGACGGACGGACGGACAGACAGTCACCGCATAATCGATTTCTCTTTTCATTCTGATCATTTATGTATACATTTGTCTATATCTATCTCGATTCGTTTTGCCTGTTACAAACAACCGTTATATGAACAAAGTTATAATACACTTGTGCACAAGTGCGCTCGGGTATAAAAATCAAAGTAGTTTTTTAGCTGCTTGAAACGTCCGCTTTATTACTCAAAAAAAATTCTAAATATTCAGATTAAAAAGTTTGGAATTTTGATGAAAATTTGTTAACTTTTCATAAACTTTGTATTAAGTTTGAAACTTTGATCTACATGCTTCCAAATAAAAAAAATATTTACTTGAAAAACATTGTGAATATTTAAAAAAAAACTGTATGTATTTAAAGGAAAATTTCACAAAATATAAAAACTCACTATATCGTGAAAAGAAAATGTTTTAAAACAAAAACGGCACAGATTTTATAAAAAAAAGTTTTAATCAATTGTACATTTTTTTTTTTAAGTTAAAGTCAACATTGGTTTGTTTGCTTTTTAGCGTACATATCAGTAATTATTATGAAAACAATGAAAATTTTAATGAACCATTGCACTCGAAGGGTCCCAAGAAAAATTATAAGTCCCAGAAAATCTCGAAAAATTCCAAGTAGTACTGAAAAGTCCAAAGCTATAATAAAAAAAAAATTAAGTTCTGAAAAGGCATCGCGAATCCCGAAAAAGTACCGAATGCTCTCGAAAGACTCAGAACAAGCTAAGCAAAAAGCATGAAAATCCAGAAAAAATCGCGTAAAACTCCAAAAGAGTACCAAATAAATCTAACGATAACCCGAAAAACTCCGGAGAGGTTCTAAAAAGTCATCAAAAACTCCAAAAAAGTACTGAAAAATTCCGAAAGCTTCAGTAAATGTCAGGAAAAATACGAATATTCAGCAAAATTCTCGATTTTTTTTTAAAGAGCCAAAGGTTAAAGAGGTCCTGAAAAATTATAGAAAAATACTAGGATCTACCGCAAAATTTCTAAAAAATGTTCCAGTAAATATGAAAACTCATCCGAAATTGTACGAGAAGCCGAAAAAGTACCCAATAAATCAGGAAAATTCAACCGAAATCGCGAAAAAATACTGAAAGACTCAGAATAGCTCCCGATCTATATATGAAAAGTCACCAAATATTACGAAATGTCCGCCTCAAAGAAGTCTCAAATAAAGTAAAAGTCGCACGTAAAAACATGAAAACCTCCAAAAATTAGTAAGTTTCCGAACTAGCTATAAAGCCCCGAAAAGGTTTCAAAAATTGGACAACCAAAATTTGTGAGCAGCCACTTTAAAACGGAAAGGTTTCCAAAAATTGCCAAACAAAGTATAAAGTCTTTTGAGGTTATAAAAAGTCCCGATTTAAACATGAAACATTCGGAAAAATGAAGTGTCGAGTGAAATTTGAAAAATAACCAGAAGCTACGACAGATTCTGAATAAAATATGAAATGCACCCAAAAATTCCGACACTTCACCCAAAAAACCCCGAAAGGTAGAAAAAAATGTCTACAGTAAAACATAAAAAGGCATCAAAAGTTACGAAATGTTCCGAAGTAGTCGTGGTTTGAAAATGAAAAACGATTAATTATGAACAAGTGTCGAAAGATCCCGAAAGATTCAAAAAAGTTACGAAAAAGACATCCAAAATCCCACGAAAAGGACAAAAAAAAAACACGCCAAAAAATCACCTCGAAATTTATTGGTAGAAATAAAAAAAAAACAAAAGAGTTGATTTTTGTTTTCACTTTATTGTCGATTATTAGAAATCATTAGAGCTAGATTGTAGAGATGCGTCATCGTCTGCAATGTCATACCTCGTTAAAGTAGAATTATTTGAAAAGTTTTCATGTTTGTAATTATAGCTTAACTTAGAAGTCTTCTGAGTCACTTGCTTTATCACTGACAAAATCCCAATTTTCGCATCTATCTTTTGGCTTTGAGTCATTCTTTTGAAGGAGGGAACCAATGAAATCAAAAATGATTTGTCCTCATCAATTTCTTTCGGAAAATCCAGGAGAATCTCTTCAAATGACGCTGAATTTGCGCTTTGCTTAATTTTGTTGATACTGGTTGTTGGAGCTTCATATCCAAAGCTTTCCTGCTCGTCTTCTTGTACTATATGCTCTTCAAATGATGCTTCCTTTACGCTGCGTTTTGTTTCATTCTTGCTGATTGGTGGAGCTTTTTTCTTACTCGCTATTGGAGCTTCAATCTCGCTGAGTCTTTGAGCTTCATATTCGAAGTCTTCCTGCTCGTCTTCTTGCACTATATCCTCTTCATTCTTGCTGGTTGTTGGAGCTTTTCTCTTATTCGTTGTTGGAGCTTCATTCTCGCTGTCGTCCTGGTCAGCTTCTTGTACTATATCCATTTCACAAGCATTCGACTCGCTATTCGTCGCCTCCTTATCCTCAACGAAGGGCAATAAAAATAATAATTGATCAAAAAACATATACTTTCGGCGTTTATATGACACTTGACCATATTTGGCTTTCGTTTGGACTTTTAACTCACGCTTGAAAGATGTACGCAGATTGCGCCACTTGAATAGCGTTTCTTTTGCTAAAAATAAATTGTAAATAAAAAAAACTTATTTTTTACGTTTTTTCTACTAAAGCTTAATTTAGTATGAAGCGCAGTTTTTTTACTATTTTATTTTACCCTTCAATGCTTTTTCGGCAGCACTCAAACTCTCCCATTCCGGTACCAGCTCAGCGCAAACTTCAAACCAGAGGCGTGCCACTGTATGCCGGTCTGAATATTCCTTCAGGTTTTTATTATACAATGCGGGTTTGCTCTCCACGATTTTTATAAATTTTACAGTCGAGTCTTCGAAGTTGGATTCGTCTTGCGTTTCGTCTTCAGCAACATTCGTCTCGTTAAATTCTTCGTTGTTCGAGGTATAATAGGGCAATAAGAATAACATTTCGTCAAAATGTATATACTTTCGGCGTTTGTGACCGGTTTTACTGCATTTGATTTTATTTTGAGTTCTTATCTCTCTCCTAAAGGATGTACGAAGATTTCGCCATTTCTGTTGTATTTCTTTTTCTAAAAAAAAAAATAGAAAACAAATGTAAAAAGTTGTTGTTTTTCGTTTAAGTCTAGTTTTGCATAAATTCCAGGAATATTGTTCTTTATTACCTTTTACCTCCTTTTCCTCGGCACTCAAACTTTTCCATTCCGGAATCACATCTCGGCAAACTTCAGTCCAGCAGCGCGCCACTGTATGCCTGTCTGAATGTTCTCTGAAGGCATTATTATACAACGGTGGTTTACTCTCCACGGACCTAATTAGTTTTACAACCCAGCCTTCAAAATTTGAGTCTAGAATATGTATTTTTGTTGATATGTAGTTACTTAAATAATTATAGTTTCCATATAATTTATAAAAACATACCAACTTGCGACGACATCACTCCTCTTCCATAAAAAAAAAAAATATTTATTATTCCCGGCAAACTATTTTCTCGTTCAGCAGAACGATTGCAACTGAGCGCGCTGCTTTAAATTTCAAAACTACATACTCACTTGAGCAACACAACACTCAAACGACGAGAAATCGTCCACTCAACTGCATGATTTAGGCTAGGCACATAGTGCCTACAAAAATTAATGTTTCAAGGGGAACGCATGTATAACAAAAAACAAAACCGACTTCAATTCTCATATAAAAATTTAATAGTACCGTTAATTGCTGCATGATCAAATGATCGCAACTAAACCAAATCAGAGACAACACCTTGCCAATAGCAAAAGAATTATCGAAATCCATAGTTATGAGGTAACATAAAAAAAAACATGAAAAATATTCCAACGAATTGACAAAATACTTAATACGATATTTTGTCGCTAACTCGTTTGAGAATAGCGTTTATTTAGTTTCTCAGTTTTTCGACTGGTATACTTTATTTTAGTTTTGAATAAATCGTTGCTCTTTCGACCATTTACTCAACGCCACTATGTTCTTAGCCTTAGGAACTCAGGCGAAACAAAAAACACTCGACCCAGAGAACAAGCAGTTCAAGCGACAAATAATAAAACATAATTTCCAACCCGCAGGCAAAAACAACGAATATATGGTTGTGTGACCGTGTGTTTGAAAGTATGTTGAGGAGTGCTGCTGCTGCCAAGAAGGCAGAATGGACCAGGAAAGGAAGGAAGCAGTAGTAGCGCTAAGAGAGAGCGCACACAGATAGCAGTAATGGGCGCGCTCATTTATTGAGGACAGCAGTTATTTTGCTTCGCTGAGCCACCATGCCGCATGGTGACCATCCGTCCTGTAATATACGACACAGTCTTCTCTTTTCCTCAATTATCCTTTTAACTTATTTATTTCATACGGCATGCCAAATGTTTTGTATTTCTTTTAATGACCCGCATTTGTCCCGTATTAAGTAGTTTGGCGCCTTAACAGCTCATAAAAATGGCATGCCTTTGAACGAGTTCTTATTTCTAAATCTGGACGCTGGTGATTCGAATCGAGGCGCACATACATATCTGGTTTCTGAAGTTAGAATTTAAAGTAGAAAAAATGGGTATTTGTGAGTATGAATCCAAATTAGTTAGTGATTATTGTTCAAATTTTAAAAGAAATTTCACAATTATTTAGCTTTTCAAACGTTTTTTTTCAACGCATTTCAAGTTGAATATTCTGTATGGAGCAAAGCATATTTAACAAGTAACAGCAGTAGAACAGCTGATTTTACTTTTGTCGAGACTTTTGTCTTTAAATTGTCATTTTTGTTTACAATTTAGCGATGGCTGAGCGGGAAATCGACCTATCTCGGCAGCCAGTTCGAAAACGCCCTATCTCAGAAAATTTCTCAAGAACACCCTACTATAGAATTTGATTGAAGAACGCGCTATTTCAGAATTTTATTGAAAAGCACCCCATCTCAGAATTTTGTTGAAGAACGTCCTAACACAAACGAAAATGCACTGAAAATGTGCTGAGATAGGGTGTTTTCGAACTGGCTGCCGAGATAGGTCGATCTTCCGCTCAGCCATCGATATGGATTCCAAAACCAACAACAAAATACATACTGCGTGCTGTTTTTTCTTAGGTACTATTACCTGCCCAATGCGTCGTTGTGTGGGGGGCAATTTTCAAATTTTGTAGAGTGGAGATATTCATTAGGCGAAACTACGCCAAAAAAAAATGTTTGCTGATTGTATGAGATAAGAACGCTACCAGAACAATGTTGTTAAAGTAAAGAAGTCCTCAAAGGTGGAAGGGAAGTGGAACCCTTCAAAGGTACGCTTTGCAATTCAGCTCGTTCCGGATGCTATTCATTGCATTGCGCTTGGCCGAAATCCGAATCTGAAAATAATGCGTTGAATACCACTCGTGCTTCAAAAGTTGTCGGATATTTTCATTATGCTGCCCTGCCTAAGATTGTTTGTAATAAATTTTGGAAAAATATTCTACAAACGTGTGATGTTGCAACTGCTTTCACAAAAGATCGAAAAATATAAGCCAAATAAAAATGCTGTTTCAGGATCATTGGAAGAGGTTTTAAAATCATCTTGCTTTTCGGCTACCATACATATGGTCACCGTAACCATGCGCCATACTAAACTCCCGCACAACGATGAAAATATGAGTACTATATTTACAGAGATAAGCATGGAGCGAATCGAACAATGAGTGCGATGCTTACATACATATATGCAAATGTACATATGCAAGTACATGAATGTTCATATGTGTTTTCGTTGCATTTGTGTGAACGATAGGCACATCTGCCTTTTTCGTTCCCCCGAAATTCATAACCAAAACACCCTGCTCAGCTGCATAGGTGAGCGTTACCTTTTCAGCGGTGGTTA